GAACAGAGTAAAAAAGAATGGTGAGAATACCATTCCCTGTGGTGGTCCTGTGCTGCTGACTACTGGATTAGACCACTGACCCTTCAGTCTAAGTAACTGTGGTCTGTTTATCAGGTAGTCTTTGATCCAGGTGGTTGCGGTTGCCTCCATCTGGGTCTTTTGAAGTTTCTGACAAAGTAAATCAAAATGATTTACTAACTATACTAATTCTAACTACCCTTATTTATTTTTTGTGATATAGGTTTGTCTTTTACTGTACAGTCTGACATAGATATTGATCCTAGTCCTGTTTTATGTAGGGTGCAAACACCCTTCAAACACATTTAAACACTGAACAAATCTGGTCCAGAAATTCAAAAAGTACAAAAATGAGGCCTGAAACACAATGAATGTCTATGGATCAGATCCATAGCTGAAATATAAACAGGATGCCAACCCAGAGGCTTTTTGGGGCGAAGAACAAAAAGTTTGTATTCCTTTGAATCTTTTAGAAGCACATTATCTCACTAAACATCGGCTCTGTTTGAAAACCTGGGCTGCATCCTCCAAGGATGCGGTCTACCTAGACTGGATCCTTCGAAGTCCTTGAAAATAAGGAGACCGGAAGAGTTTTGGCTGTGAATTCGAACAGGTTTACCCTTCGGCGGGTTTTACCGCCGTACGCTCTGTTGCTTAGCAACCGCAAAAGTTGACACAAAAAGCAGGAAAAGAATGAAAACCGAAGTTTTCAAAACTGTTTGTTGATTTATTTCTTTTTTATTGTAAAGTGAACAAAGACTACATTAACAAGAATCCAGAGTGGAATAAAGGTTTCAACCACCGGGAGCAGGAACAAATAAAATCAAATGTAATGATAGAAACCTTAGTCAGTTAAATAACCTGCTGCTGTCATTCTGCACATCTCTGATGTTGCTGCTATTTTCAAATATCCATTACTGTAAAAATGTCCATAGCTGCATATTGGTTATTAATTCCCCAGTTTTATATTGTTAAAACACTTTACAGTATTTTATTATTTATATATTTAACTCTTCCCTATTATGTTATTTTTATAAAATTTTTCTAAGGTCCACATTTGTGTGACCATTTTCAATAATCTTTCTGCTGCTGTAAATTTGCCCATTGTTCGACAATAAAGGGATTTTCTATTCTATTCTATAAAAGGGGTAGAAAGATATAAGTAAATCTAAACAATGTATGTATAAAAAATATATCTACAAGATCTCTAGTATTCAACAACAAAAAATACTTAGTTAAGCATATTGTGCAAAACAGCAATAAAAAGATAAAAATCCTATCAGATTTATAGTCCCCACACTGCAGATATATTAGAATCTGTAAATTACAGTCAAACCCATTTACACAGTAACAGATAAAAACCTTTAGATAAACCAAACATTACCGCCACATATCTGACTCTATAACCATTAAAACCATTATTTTCATTAATTTCAGAAGGAACTATTCACAGACTTGTATTATATTAAACTGAACTTCCAAATTTCACCACTGCTCGGTGCCAAGTAACCTTTACTCTGATCACAGCTTGCTTGGTCTCGCAATGAATCCTGGGATATCCAAGGATACCGAGGATACATCGGACCCGCCCTTTAAATCGGGCAAAAAGAAGGACGCATTTTAAGGACGCATAACGAGGACTCTTGGAATCCGACCAGACCTCGGCGCCGCTCTATGACGTAATCGGCCTTCGAATCTGGCCTTTAAAGGACACATCCTAGGTTTTCAAAAAGAGCAATCTAGTCGATGTGTACATCGACTGGAGTCTGGTCCCATATATGTTGATGATCATCTCCCCCTAGTGGTCTGGAGCACTTCCATTCTGTGACATTACTTCAGTTTTTCCTAACCTACAGTTGTTTTTGCTACTGGTAGCATTTCTCCTTTAGCATATGCTATGTGTGTTAGCATCATTCAAATATTTGCCGGGAGTTTTGTATTTGCATTTCATTTGCACTTTGCTGCTCTCTATGTTCTTCGTTGAAAGCATTTCTCTGTTGCAGCATTTTGGGTTTGCTAGTCACATTTCTGTGTTTGGGAGCTTTTTTTAGTTGCTGTTCTTTTTGAGTTTGCTGCATATTCATGTATTTGCAGGACATTTGCAACCTTTGACCACCATATCTGTGCTTATAGAAAAAGACAAAAACAAACCAAACACACACATGTTCATGTCCAAATAAAGCAATACACACCAATCATTTGTCCTGATAGTGTTAATTTAATCAATTTTTGGTCATTTTAAGCCAGTATAGGTACTGGCAGTACCCTCCAACCAGCCAGTCCTTCAATAGCAGTAAGATAGCGATGGTTCTTCCTGAAAAGATATATAAAAAAAAAAATTGTTTTTCTTTTTATATTATTTGACAAGTAAAAATTGAATAATATATTTATTGGATATTAATAGGCAGAGAAAACAGTAACTGGTAACTCATCCCCTAAGTGTTTTCAAATAAATATCTAAAAAGTGTGGCATGTCTTTGCATTCAGCTGTCCACCTCCGTTTAATACAACCCAAGTTTAAATCTAGTGGACTAAGCCGGAGGATTACAGCAGAGAGAAGTTTAAAGCGGGTTAAGACAGTGTAACTGGAAATCACAGGACTTGAACTTCTCATGTACCCCTTTCCCACTGGCTGAAAAAAAATGTTTATACCCAGCAACAAGCGGCATTTAGTGGAAGTGGGAACAGCTCACTGACTCGTGTCTACCACCATACAACTCTGCAAACGAACCGTTAAAATTGCCTCGGCTCTGATCGGCATGCTGTGGGAACATCAGAGCCGGGTTAACTCACTAAATTACATGCAACCATTGAACACAACATACAGAAGTCAACACACCAACGCTTCTGATCTAACAAGCCGAAACAACTCTGTTCACATTCGATAAACATGTAGCAGCAATGAGGTAGCTTACCCAGGAGTGGAAACACAGCCTAACCAGGGAGAAAGTGGACCAGCAGGTGAGGGTTAGATGGAAGCTGCACGCCACAAAAACTTCCAGCTGCAGCCGCCTACACCAGCAGAGAAATGCTGCAGAAACGCACGACAGGTAGAGCACCAGAGCCCAACCACAATCCCAGCCACAGATGGCAAAATGGCACTTATCATTTCAGATGAGCGGATCAAGCACACCAGCAACTTAGGCAGCCGACATGTAGGGGAAACAAAGACACATGCACCTTGCAGAGGCCTGTCCCACCCACCAATCAATGGTTTGCTTCTTGCAACACCTGGTACACCACATCTGCTTCTGTCTCCTTGAACCTCAGTCGGCCTCGGCAGATGGCCGCTCACACTGAGCCTGGTTCTGCTGGAGGTTCCTTCCTGTTAAAAGGGAGTTTTTCCTCTCCACTGTCGCTACAAGCATACTTAGTGTGAGGGAATGCCTCGAAACACTGGAGAATAGGGAACCCAGAGAAAACATTCAAAAACAAATTCCCCAAGGTGTTTACAGGATTAGGGAGACTGGAAGGTGACTATCGTATCCGCCTGAGAGAAGATGCTGTCCCCTTTGCCCTTACAACCCCTGTCGTGTGCCAATACCCTTAACTGAAAAAGTCAAGGAGGAACTAAAAAGAATGGAGGAAATGGGGGTCATCTCCAGGTTGGGGAGCCCTACTGAGTGGTGTGCGGGGACAGTAGTAGTCCCAAAACCCAATGGCAAAATTAGACCATGTGTTGACCTCACCAAGCTCAGTGAAAGTGTGTGCAGAGAAAGATATATCTTGCCCTCTGTAGATCAGCCATTAGCACAGCTGAATTGCTGAAAATGTTAATAAAATTGGATTAGCATAAGAAAGTAGGGAACTAACAACATTTGTTACTCCCTTTGACCTTTTCCTTTTCAATGTGCTATGCTTTGGGATAAACTCGGGCCCAGAAAATGGGCCAGAGATGCAGCTTTAAGGTGTTATATGCCATGCAGATGATGTCCTCGTATTGGGAAAGAATTAAGCAGAGCCTGATGAGCGACTCACAGCTGTCCTTACGCTGCTGCAAGAGGCAGGGCTAAAACTAAACGATACATGCACCTTTGCACAGACAGAAGTTCTGTTTATAGGACATAAAGTCAGTGCAGAATGCATTGAACCAGACCCAGAGTAAATCAGAGCCATTACGGACATGCCTTTCCCACAGAACATTGCAGACATTCGCCGTTTTTTGGGGATGATGACTTATGTTGCAAAACTCCTCCCTCACTTTGCAGATTCTACCAAACCACTCAGATCTGCTGGTAAAAGTAACTACATCGGCAGAGAATCCTGGGGAACTCCATGTTTGATGTCCCCAATTTTTGGTGATTAATATCTACAAGTCTACCAAAAAGGTAACTTTTAAACCAATCATATGCCTTTCTCTTACCCCACATAGGTGCAGCTTGCTCAGTAATATAATTGATTTTACTCTATTGAACGTGCCAAGTTACAATAAAATTACAATGCAATAACAAAAACGTTCAAAGGAGAGGGAATAATAAACATATCAAGGCCCATCACAAAATATCTTATTTATATGTACTTTTTAAGTACACCTTCATTTTACTTCCTGATTCTTGATTAATGCAGTACACTTATTGATACAATAGCTCTAATAATATTATAGTATAATAATAGCTAGACAGTTTCTCATATTTACTGAAAACTATTTTATTATTAAAAAAGAACTTTGAATTGTTTAAAGTTTGGACATTGTTTTAATTCCACAGTCAAAACTGTTGCATAGTTTCACACCAGAGACTGAAATGCAAAAACTTCTTATCGTTCTGATCTTACAAAATTCTTAAATATGTGTACATTGTTTTAGTTCCAACCCATGTCAAAGCCATTACAGGAAAAATAAAGCTCCCCTCTTGGTTTGTATAGAACAACAGGGGTCCACTGTTGGCTGGTGCAGAACGACACAAGTCCCCACTGAGATAGGATGGAGCAACATACACACTCCAGGGTGAGCGAATAAGAAGAAAAATTATCAAAACAGACACATTTTTAAGACAATTTAATAAAATAACCCTGTTGTTCACACATTTTCCCCTCTGTGCGCCACTAAGGTCCGTCAACAAGTTTCAGGACTCAACCAAAACCCCTCAGTGTTACGACCTTAAGAAATAATGAGATTTGGTGAAAATAATCAAATGTCACAAGTCAATCAAATGGAACAGATAAAGAACGGCGTTCACCATCCTTCTTTCAACTTCAGCTTGCAACGCTTATGATGTCTCGGGAGATCTTTCTTGACATACATACCAAAGCAAAACTTGCAAGGTACGTAGTCGGTTGCAACTGATTGACGGGTTGCTTGCCTTTTAGGTATGATTTGTCCCTTTCCAGAAGACAGAACAGAGCAGTTGTGGTGGTAGTTTCCCAGGTTTTTTACTTTGGTCAACAGCAAAGAGTGCATCGTTGAGCCTTGCTTGTGCACAAGCGCCTTAGCCACATCAGATTTGTCTGAATGCTTCTGCTTCAGATGTCTTGTTAGTTTGGCATAAGGATTCTTACAGTAAAGACAATAGTTCCTCTTGTCATAGACACGTTGATCTGCAGTGTTTGAAGACATTTTAACTGTGATGTTATATTGTTGAGAGTTGCTTTTTTTTGAGCACTGCTTAGTTTTAGAAGACGGTTTTCTGTGGATTACTACAGTTTCTGTAGTTTCTTCTTCCTCAGCTTGTGGGTCATCATCCACTTGTTCATCTTCTGACATTTCCAGAGAAAGGGAAAATTGTTCTTCAGGATTCTGAAAGAAAATGTAGCTTATTATTTTGAAAACAAGAGAATATGATACATGCATCATTTTTTTTTTTTTTACAGTTATAGTTTTCTTTAATGGTACACTATGCAACCGGTGTTGATTTTCCAGCGAGGCTCCCCCCAGAGGGCGAAAGTAAAAGTGCACTGTCGTAAATATGCACAGCTGTTCTCCTGGTTTCTCCGTCAAGCCAGGCGCGGTTGTTTTGAGCTTAGCAGACAGGCAAACGCAACGAATGACTAAGCATCTGATGCGCGTGACGCGCCGCAAACGCGCTGCTGCTCGAGATGGAAAAATTGAATTTTTGCTGCTCGACGTGCCGCGTCAACCAATCAGAGAAGCTGATCTGGGAGCTGGCAGGGAGACAGACACAGCGCTGATGATCAGAGCACTATGATCACTCGTCTTAAACAGTTTATTGACGCCTAAATTAACTTAAAATGCAGAAATCTGATGGCAGAATATGTTCGCTTTTATTATTCTGCTGCCTGCAGTTTGGATTATTTAGATGAAAAACACCTACCAGCTGCCGCGCTGAACCGCGAGGAGGCGACCCGGCCAGAGGCTGCTGATGAAGGGATTCCTACTGTCGGCGCACCGCCGGTATGTGGGGGTCTGAGCGGCTCCGACAGAAAAAATATTGGAAGGCAGGATGGTAATCTGGATGAACTGACTGCACTGATTACGTTTTCAGGTGGATTTTCTCACTTTAACACATATTAAAACTACTTTATTCCCACTGATCACAGCAAATATAGCTGCAAGGCAGAGAAAGGATAGTGAAGCTCCGCCCAACGCGCGTCAGACACACTTTTGCACCGCGCAGCCAGAGCAGCAAAGCTGCTTCAGCCGCGCGTCAGAACTAACTGGTACAAGCAGTAAAAATGAAGCAGCAGACGCGATTTTGCTGCGTCCGGTGTGAAAGCAGCACTGCACAAAGATCGCCACTGTGCTAGCAACGAGCATGCTTTTAACTGGGGGCGTGTAGCAGTTCTCGCCGTAAAGCAAGACCGACTCTCGCGAGACTTCTGAGCCTGTGGGTGCGGGTCGGTGCTCCTGCAATTGCAAGTGCAGCATTTCCCCCACAGACCACCAGGACGGCCGAGAATACCTTTGTTCAACCTGAAATGACTCATTTAATCATCCATAACATTATGGAACACATTAATTAACTGAAAAATGTTGCATAGTGTGCCTTTAACACTACTTGAATAATTAAACCCTTTATTACCGTCTCAATCTCATAACATTCCTCGTCTGTCGATGGAGATGAAGGCAGGGGATTACTGGCAGTAATGTCAGGCAAATCTGTCACCAGACTCTCTGCAAGGTTCATGTCAAAGGTTTCAATGCAGAAATTTGTTGAATGGGGTCCATCCTGTAATAATAACAAAAAGTAGTGAATAAATGTCTATATCGGGTGACAATATATTTAGCCAGTGGAATACAAAGTAAGACAAAATCTCTGTGGAAAAATCTTTATTTTCTTTAAAAAAAAAAGAATGTTATATTGCCCTACCTGAAAAGAATTACTTACTTTACTTTGCTTCTCAAACCCAGCGTTGTTTGTATTTCCAGTATAATCAGGCTGATGTGTCAAACCTGTAAATTAAGTTAATCCGTTTTCATTAGTTACCCAAGATAGTGTTTTTAGTCCATAATATTATATAAAATATTTAAAGCGACGGTACTCACACATGAATACCTGAAGGGCTTCTTCAATGGAGGGACGTTCTTCAATAGATCTACTCAGCATCCGGGAAATTATATCTTTTTGGCTGCTCCAGTTTTCCTCACATTTAAGGTTAAAGTTGCCCGTTCGGACATTATCCAATATCCCAAAGGGATTCCTGAAGTATGGTGTTGTTGTTTGAAAGGGATGTTGGCCATCTGTCAGGATGTAATGCACCAAGCATCCCGCAACCTGAAATGCAACAGATTATATTAAAGATACGCTCTTTAACAGTCCCAATCATAACTTTTTTATAGTAAACTGTTGACAATTAACTAGCCAAACAATTCAGATTGATAAATAATCATGGTAAGCAGTTTAATTAGCATTTTCAAGGTCAACATACCTGGACTTCTGACTCCTTCTTGTATTGGTTTTCTTCAGCACACTCATAACTAATCCAGTACATTTGTGAAAACATGATGGTTTGTGCTGGATCTAGTTTTCTGCTTGCACCAAAGTCTCCAATATACAACTTATTGTTTATATCTGTAGACAAATAAAATATTATTAGACATATAACAAAATGTTACATTTTGGTTTTACACACACACACATACATACATATATTTATGTATACAATACAGACCAAATGTTTGGACACGCCTCATTCAAAGAGTTTTCTTTACTTTCATGACTATGAAAATCGTAGGTTCACACTGAAGACATCTGTTAGGTTTATTCTTATATATATCAAAACTATGAATTAACACGTGGAATTATATACTTAACAAAAAATTGTGAAACAACTGTAAATATGTCTGATATTCTAGGTTCTTCAAAGAAGCCACCTTTTGCTTTGATTACTGCTTCGCACACTCTTGGTATTCTCTTGATGAGCTTCAAGGGTTCGTCACCTGAAATGGTCTTCATTCACAGGTGTCCCCTGTCAGGTTTAATACGTGGGATTTCTGGCCTTATAAATGGGGTTGGGACCATTAGTTGTGCTTTGCAGAAGTCAGGTGGATACACACCTGATAGTCCTACTGAATGGACGGTTAGAATTTGTATTATGGCAAGAAAAAAGGAGCCAAGTAAAGGCCCCCCTCATATGAAACATGCGTTAAACATGCTTACTCAAAATGAAACTGGTTTCAAAGGATTCAAACCACGTGACCGAGGTGATTTGGCTCTATCTTGTGTTTTTTTATTGTTTTTGTTTTTTTTTTATTTTCACAGATCAAAATAAAAACTCAGAATACACCAATAGAATAAAATAAAAAATAAAAAATGTGATGGAGTGTGACAGAAACCCTTTAGGGCTTATACCAAAGGCCACACCCGTAAACCAACAAAATATCAGGCAGCTCACATTATGAAAGTCCTTTCAGAGAAAACAGAATAGACATGTACAGTAATATTATTTTTACATTTTAGCATTCAGATTTCAGGGGGTCAAATATTTGTAAAGTCATACATCACTGTCTTTTTTGGATAACAGTATTTTTTTCAAAGACTTTCTACCATTTATTTCTGAAGATTCCAAATATTTTCCATATTCATTCCATAATTTTGCACCACGATGCCGAAAAGAAAATTGCACTTGAGTTTTAATACTTAACGGTAAATGAAAAGACAAAGCTTGTCTAGTATTATAAGAATGCACTTGGTGGTTCTTAACAAAATATTTCTTGAAAGTATCAGGAGACTGACCTTGTTTTATCATAAAAATAAAGGTACATGTTTCATAAATATTAATTTCAAAAATATTCAACAGCTGTAATTTGGAAAAAAGAGGAGCACTAGCTGCATCAACTTTAGAGAATGTTGCTAAGCGAACAAAAGCGTTTTGCAAAAGTAGTATTTTTTTAAGATAACTAGGAAATGTACTTGCCCAAACAATATTACAGTATGACAGGTATGGATAGATTAATGAATAATATAGAGTTAACATCCCTTTATTGTGAACAAAATTTCTAATCCTTCTCAAAATACCTAGAGATTTAGTGACTTTTTTGCAGACTGTACCAATTTGTTCTCTCCAAAGGAGTTTGTCGTCAAGTTGGACACCCAAAAAACAAACAGTAGAAACTTTATCAATTTGTTGGTTTTGAATACAAATTCTTATATCATCAAATGTATATTTTTTGTGCCCAGCAAAAACCATGAAATTACATTTTTTCACATTCAAAGATAAGCTTATGTGTTTAGTTTTTATTCAAGTGTATTTTTAGTTAACAAAGACTGAGAGTCCATTTAATTTTTATTTCTCGTTTTATTTTGTTAACCAGTTCCAGTGTTAAGAGTTCTGTTGAAAATAAAGTGTGTTTATCTTTGGCAGGAAATCGCATGCATTATTACGTCATTTCCATTAAATCAGTGTAAAAAGGTCTTCAAACAATATTATCATTCATCGCAATAATTTTTGAGACAATTAATCGTTCAGCAAAATTTGTTATCGTGACAGGCCTAGTCACAAATATATTTTATTAAACTTTAATTCATTAATTTAATAAATAAAATATAACAATAACATAGGCCCACCACTTAAATTTTAATAACCTTTTTTTAAACAATGAACCTCTTTATAAGCCAAAACAGAAGATTGCAAAAACAGGAAGATTTGTGAACAAAATAAAAAGTTTGTCCCAAATTAAACATGCTGGCATTTTTTATAATGCAGGCCTAAAATCAAATGTAGGCTACATTAGAAATACATAGACATACCATGCTAATGGGAGCAGTGGGCCTGATGGCTTCTAATGTTTGTCCAGTCTGGGCTTGATGTCTGTCAGATTAACACGCATGTTATTCTCCACATTCAAACGTGATCTGTGTTTAGTTTTCAGTACTTTTAAAGTGGAAAAGCCGAACTCAAACAAGTAAGCGGTTGCAAATGGAAGGAGACATTTCAGAGCCCTTTCAGCTAGGGTGGGAAACTCTTGTCTTACATACACCCAGAAAATATTATTTGTAAGCTTTAGGTGAATGGTTTTCATACCCAGACAGGAATATTTTATTTTTTTTTATTCAAAAAAAATTATTTCATGTATAACTTTTTATTTTTTATTCTCCATCTTCCCGCGGCCCCTCCTGGCGTCCCCCACTTTGAAAACCAGGGCTCTAGAACAACTGCAGAAGACTCTTGCTTTGGTAAAAGAACATGATAAGTCTGATAAGTTCAAATGCGAGATCTTTGGTTCCAACCATCGTGTCTTTGTGCGTGGAAAAGGTGAATGGATGGACTCTACGTGTCTGTTCCCACCGTGAAGCATGGAGAAGGAGGCATGGTGGCAGTGGCGGCTCTAGACCAAATGTACCAGGGGGCCAAGTGGGGGCCAGCGTGTTTTCATGGGGGAACAGAAAAGCATGAAACAAAAAACACGGCAAGGGATTTAAATATATTAAGAGAGCTGCATGAAGTGAAATTTCTATTCAAATAGATTTAATTAAAATTCTATGTCTTATTAGGTCTATATTCATTCAGAATTGAGGAATTTTACATATTTTTGATGTAATTTAACTTAAAATAACCGTTTTCTATAAAATCTAAGTTGGCGTTCATGAAAAACTGATAAATTCAGCCGTAGAAATTAGTACGGTATTTTCACGACTATAAGGCGCACATAAACATCTTTTTTTCCCCTCAAAATGTGCGGTGCGCCCTATGGTGCGGTGCGCCCTATGTGTGTTGTAACTGCGACTTTTGAGACCACCTCATTGAGGAGATGATGAAAGAGTGGCTGAATGTGAGGAGACCAGGTGTTTTTTTCCACTCATCACCATTAATATGCAACTCCATGCGTGCCCATCTCACAGCTGATGTGAAAAACATGGGGAAACAAATTAACCCTGTGCTCGCTGTTCAACCGCTCGACATCGGTGTGAACCAGACCCAGCAGGTGCAGCAGAAGCAGCGAGTTTACATGCAAAGTCAATGGTTGACGCCGGTATAGGCGCAGCAAAAGGTCCTGCAGCGCGTTTTGAGCCGCAGTTGCAGCACGTCGGGATCGTTTAAGCATCTGCCAACGCGCTGCTGCTGCTCGAGATGGAAAAATTGAAGTTTTGCTGCTGGACGCGCCGCATCAACCAATCAGAGAAGCTGATCTGGGAGCTGACAGCGAGACAGGCACAGCGCTCTGATGACATATGATATTAACGCAAATGAAAAAGGCTGGATGGATGAGGAGATGATGAAAGCGTGGCTGAGGCAGGTGTATGTGAGGAGACCAGGTGTTTTTTCCACGCATCACCATCGCTGCGTGCCCATCTCACAGCCGATGTGAAAAAAAAGGTGAATCAAATGAACGCTGTGCTCGCCGTTATCCCGGGGGTCTGACAAAGGAACTTCAACCGCTCGACATCGGTTTGAAGCGGCCGTTCAAAGTAAGGCTGCGAGCTGCGTGGGAGCGATGGATGACAGACGGAGACCACAGTTTCAGGATAAGTGGAAGGCAGCGCCGGGCAAGTTACGCCACCGTTTGCGGATGGATTGTAGATGCTTGGACTAAAGCCGTGGTTCTCAAAGTGTGTGGCGCGACCCACTGGTGGGGAATTGAGACGTGACAGGTGGGGCGCGCCAAGTTCCGGTGTGTGTGTGTGTGACTATAAATGTAGAACGTGTGAGAGCAAACTGTCCTTATAGCTGTATGTTGCCGCTTTTTAGACCAATCAAACCCACAAAGTAATCATTACTAGCCTACATGCAGTCTAATTAAAAGAACATTAGAAAAATTTCACCTGGAACTGAAGTGCCAAAATAATGATTGACGTGACGTCGGCATATTATTTGTAACGGAATAAACTTTCGCGCCCCAGTGTTGCCAACTCAGCGACTTTGTCGCTATATTTCAGACCCCTCCAGCGACTCTTTATCAAAAAAGCGACTAGCGACAAATTAGCGACTTTTGGAGACTCTTACGTGAAAGCACGTATCGTTCCTTTTCTTGTCCTCCAGCGGCAGGTGCTGCCGTGGGGCGCCTAACCCATCCCCACCCCGTTCTCCCCCGCTATCACAGGAGTCCCTCTCAGCGCTGCAGTCAGAGACACAGCATGTTTACCCTCAGCGTCCAGACCGCAAATAAAGCGCACGTGCGCCGGGATTGACGGCGCAGGTTGATCATAAATAACTGAATTTGAAATATTTTATCTTAAATAAATAGGACCAGTTTATTGAAATGACGTCTGACTCCACCCTGAAGCTCAGGTTTAATGCTCAGACTAATAGTGAATTCTGGTTTGGAGTGGAGAGGGAGTATCCACTCATCGGGCAGAGAGCTGTGTGCATTCTTCTTCCCTTTGCCACATCATATCTCTGTGAGATGGGCTTTTCAGCTGTTGCTTCACTGAAAACAAAATACAGATCTCAGCTGAACATTGAGCATGACTTGAGAGTGGCAGTATCAAGCCTGCAACCCCGTTTTGATAAACTGCAATGCAAAACAGGCTCATTGCAGCCACTAATGCAGGGATAAATAGACCTGTATTGCCAGATGGATTTCACTTCTTTTCTTTTATTAACAGATTGCAGAGTGGCACTTTAATTTTTTCTATCTTTGAGCTTGATACAAATTTTGACACAGCTGCATTTTTATTTTCTTTATTTTTGAGCTTGCTGGCTTTTGATGTAGATAGTTTGTATTTAGATACTACTTGTTACTTCAATAAAATTGGAACATTTTAAGATTGTTGCATATTTCATTAGCATTGTGTTGGGGCGATGGGGACAGGCGGGGCTTGAAAATTCCCCCTTGTCCAAAGTGGGGAATGACAGAAAAAGTTTGAGAACCACTGGACTAAAGTGTCTGCTGGCTCTGTTGTTCAAGCTTTCGCAAAAGCCGGCATTATTTCTGAGGAGCCGCGCTGCACGGAAAGTGACTCTGACAGCGAAGAAGGGGAAACTGGCATGTCTGATTTAGCACAGCTGTTTAATTCAGAAACAGAGGATGATGACTTTGATGGGTTTGATTAATACTTTGTAATAAATACATGAATAAAGCACAATCATACTCAGTTTTGCTCCCGCTCTATTTTTCTACCTGAAAACTTAATTCAACAGCAGCGGGCGCGTCTCCTCCTCTTCAGCGCGGCGGCTGGCAGGTGTTTTTTCATCTAAATAATCTAAATCTTGCAGCTATATTTGCTGTGATCAGTGGGAATAAAGTAGTTTTAATATGTTTTTAAGTGAGAAAGTCCACCTGAAAACTTAATAATTGCAGTCAGTTCATCCAGATTATCTATTTCTGTCGGAGGCGCTCAGACCCCCACATACCAGCGGTGCACCGACAGTAGAAATCCCTTCATCAGCAGCCTCTAGGCTGGGCAGCCTCCAGGTTCACCGCGGCGGCTGGCAGGTGTTTTTCATCTAAATAATTTAAACTGCAGGCACCAGGATACCGGCAATAAAAGCGAACATATTCCGTCGGCAGATTTCAGGATTTTAAGTTAATTTAGGAGCGATCACAGCGCTCTGTCATCTGCGATGTGTCTGTCTCACGGCCAGCTGCCAGGTTTGATTAATACTTTGTAATAAATACATGAATAAAGCACAGTCATACTCAGTTTTGCCCCCGCTGTATTTTTAAATACGCAGTAGAGGTATTTAAAGGTAGTAGAGGACATGTACCTGTATATAAAAAACGTGCCCTATAGTCCGGTGCGCCTTATGTGTGTGTTAAATACAGAAATGGGACACATAACTGAGAGTGCGCCTTTTAGTCCGGTGCGCCTTATGGTCGTGAAAATACGGTATATATTTTTTTTCTTTTCCTTGAAAAAAAAAACATTTAGCAGATGGAAACTGGGCTCCTATCTCAATACCCCTGAAGCTACCACCTTATTGTTTTTAAATAATTAGTAAAACAGAAATTGTAAAGAAAAAAACGAAACAGATCCAAAGGAGCTATCAGTAACGATGTCCGTTCCAGTGCATATCATCATTAGAACTTCTTTAAGTATTATATCTACAGTACAGTAGGCACTGGCCCCCGTTGGCCCTGTCTAGAACCGCCCATGTATGGTGGTGTGTGTGCGTGGTGGGGGTCTTTGCTGGTGAAACTGTTGGGGATTTATTCAAAATTGAAGGCATACTGAACCAGCATGGCTACCACAGCATTTTACAGCGGCATACTGTTCCATCTGGTTTGCGTTTAGTCGGACTATCGTTTTTTTTTTTCAACAGGAAAATAACCCCAAACACACCTTCAGGCTGTGTAAGATCTACTTGACTAAGAAGGAGAGTGATAGGATGCTGCACCAGATGACATGGCCTCCACAATCACCGGACCTGAACCCAATCGAGATGGTTTGGGGTGAGCTGGACCGCAGAGTGACCGCAAAAGGGCCAACAAGTGCTAATCTGGGAACTCCTTCAAGCCTGTTGGAAGACCGTTTCAGGTAACTACCTCTGGAAGCTCATCAAGAGAATGCTGTGGGTGTGCAAAAGAGTAATCAAAGCAACAGGTGGCTACTTTGAGGAACCTAGAATATAAGACACATTTTCAGTTGTTTCACACATTTTTGTTAAGTTTATAATTCCACGTGTTAATTCATAGTTTTGATGCCTTCAGTGTGAATCTACAATTTACATAGTCATGAAAATAAAGAAAACTCTTTAAATGAGGAGGAATGTCAGAACTTTTAGTCTGTACCGTATATAAATACACATATACATGTGTGTGTCTGTGGATAAAAGTATAGTCCAGTTTGCTTATTAAGCTTAACTTACCAAACAGGATGTTTTCAGGCTTCAGATCTCTGTGCAAAATCCCATGTGAGTGGAGTTCCTGAAGTCCCAGCAATAACTCCTGGCAGATTCCCAGTCTCCACTGGTCAGTCAGGTTTTGTCTCTCAGGAAAATCCTTTTTTTCAATCAAGTCTTTCAGATTATATTCACAAAGAGGGTAGGCAAAATAGCCAAAGTATGAGTCTTCCAACACAGCAAGGGGCTGCAACAAATGTTTCATCTTTAATTTTTCTGAACTTAGAAAGTTTGCCATTTTCAATTCAGTTTTGGCAACATGTTTAAGAACTCGTTTTACTGCCACAGGACAGTCGCAGAAGAGTCCTGGAAAGACTTGTGTCCCACTGCATCCATCTGCAATCTTAGTTTTTGGATTGAAAACAAGGTCATCAATTTTCTTCACGTCAGGCTCAGACTGTAGATTTGCTAGTGAGCTCTTCCACCGGGATTCCTTTAATGTTGAGCAAAGAAATCTCAATTAGATAAGAGAAAAATCAATAAAATATACAGAACAAGCACACTATAGCATAGACATGGTAGGAAAATGTACAGAATTTCATCAGGGAATGTAGATGAAGAAAGAAACTACTCCACATATTTACCTTCTTTTCCATCTGCTCAGTGCAAGAGGATGCAGCAATCCTCTAAAACAAATTACAATTACAGCATTAAATTAAAATAATTATGCAAGATTAAAAACAATGATTTGTTTAACCATTGACAGCATTTAAAAATTCTACTTTGCACCAATACTGATACCAGTATTGTGTGGGGCCCCTATCGCACTACAATTGTGGTATCGGAGTACCAACAAATAGAGCACCGGTACCATTTTGAGAGCCAAAAGTTTATTAAACTATTGTCACCCATTCCAGGTAGGCAATAAAAAGTTCTACTGGATTCACTTTGTATTATCTTATCTTCATTCTCTGGTTAACACCAAGCAGCATACCTGATAATCTGTCCTCTTGATGGAGGGAACATCCATGTTGTGGGTGGAGGGGCACATATCTTCATACTTCTTGTTGGTGAACATGTCAATTCCAACCAGGTTAACCTACAGGAGAAAACAGAACAGCTCACTGCAGCTAAACTGACCAACAGCTGATTAAATTCACATAAAAGAGCTCAATATTTCTAAAGAACAACAAAACAAAACTGAAATTTCAATTATTATATTTGAAGAAAACTAAAAACAGGAATCTAAACATGTGATCTCTACCTAGAGGAACTGGTTTGACCTTTAACAGTCTTGAAAACTGGGTCAAACCCGGACATTAAAGAAGCCAAACGTACCTTGGCATGTCCGTGCTTGCCGGTCTTGGAGGTGGACATTATGGGTCTGCCAGGACAGACAGAGCTCTGATCAGGTAAACAGCTTCTGGTGGCTGGAAATATAAACAGACTAGATGTAATCCCAGCTCCTATCGTCCAGTAAGACTTCAGCTTCAATAGAAGAAGCAGCAAAAACAAGGTGATTAAGATGATAGAGAGAGGCCGCATGTCCCTTTGTTTGAACCCGGGACACCCACACCCTGCCCCCCGCAGCCCGACAGGAATCCAGCGGCTAAACCAGGGAACTACTGCGAGGGCTTCGCTTACCGGGAGGAAACTACCTTCCTGCCTCAGAATCCGCTCTCCGGTGAGCAAATAACGGATAAAGTTCTCCGTTTATTCCCTGAAGGAAGAAACACGCGCCATGCCGCACTTACCTTCCAGGTAGGGATGTTATGAGATGAGGTTTGTGTCCAGTACTGGAGGGGGCGTTTCCGCCACGCTGCTGCTGCTGCTGCTTCTTCTTCTTCTTGTTTTGGTTTATTGGCGGTTGGAAACAAACTTTGAGCAGCATTACCGCCACTTACTGGTATGGAGTGTGGTTCTTGATGTATTTATCTATCTACACTGGCGGTTCTAGACCAAATGTACCAGGGGGCCAGGAGGGGGCCAGCGTGTTTTCATGGGGGCACAGAAAAGCATTAAATAAAAAAGAAATATAACAGCGTTAAGTGAAATTTCTATTCAATGAGATTTATCTAAAATAAAAAATGTCTTATTAGATACATATGCATTCATAATTTAGGAATTTTACATATTTTTGACTTAATTTGGGCTAAAATTACAGTTTTCTATAAAATGTGAATTAGAACCCCCCGATAAATTTATCCTTTTTTTTTATTTTGAAAAACATTTGGCAGATGAAAACTGGGATCCTATCTCAGTACCACTGAAGCTATCACCTTATTGTTTTTAAATAATTAGTAAAAGAGAATTTGTAAAGAAAAAAAAATGAAATAGATCCAAAGGACCTATCAGTAACCATGTCTGTTCCAGCGCATATCATCATTAGAGTATTATGTCTTCAGAACAGGGGCCAGGACATGATCTACAGGGGCACTGGCCCCTGTTGGCCCCTGTCTAGAACTGCCCATGTCTATATATCAATATATATCAATATATATATATATATATATATATATATATATGTATATTTATTTATTTCTATCTATACATATCTTAGTATTTTACTCATAGATATCGTAAATACCGTCTATAATCAAATTCTATGAAATAATTTAGTTTTCTTTAAATATCTAATAACTGTTTGTATATGTTTACTCCCCAAATTCTTCCTCAAAATATCAAATAAATTTACATTTCCTTAATACATTCAAACTCTCTCTTCATAAATCTTCTCTGTCTTTCATATTTATTACAATCTACTATAACATGTTCTATTGTGTCATACATTCCGCAATAATGACGTTTTCCAATATTATGTTTTTGAATTTTAAAAAGTGTGTAATTAAGTCCTGTATGTCCAAATCTTAACCTTGCTATCACCATAGATATCCATAATAAAGGCTAGATGTCTCGTCCCCGCTGCTGGCCAATGGGGGTCGACGTCCGCATGTGGCGGCCATCTTGCCACAGGCAGCTCGCTCATTCGTAACATTGTGTTTTAAAGGCGCATGTACTGAAATAACCATAACTTCCTGAATTGTCTAACTGTTTGGTTTGTTAAACAAAAGTCTTTATTTTACAAGAGCTGGCTAGCAAGTGGTATATGGTCGATAAATGCAGATTCAAAGATGCAAAATACAAGTTTAGCAAGGCGGTGAAAGAGGCTAAACGACTGTACTCTGAGAAGCTGCAAAACCATCTTTCTGCCAGCGACTCTGCCTCTGTCTGGAAAGGGCTTAGGCAGATAACAAACTACAAGCCTAAAACCCCCCACTCCATGAACGACCGACAGTTAGCCAACGACCTGAACAACTTCTACTGTCGTTTCGACAGACAAAGGGACAGTCATGCATCCACCCCCCACAACACCACCCAACAGATCACCTCCACCCCCTCCTCCTCAGTGACAACTCTTTCCATAAAAGAGAGAGATGTAAACAAAATCTTCAAAAAACAGAACCCCCGGAAAGCTGCTGGACCAGATTCTGTCACTCCATCCACTTTGAAGCTCTGTGCTGACCAGCCGTCTCCAGTGTTCACAGACATTTTTAACACCTCACTGGCGACATGTCACGTGCCAGCCTGCTTTAAATCCTCCACCATCATCCCTGTCCCCAAGAAGCCAAGGACCACAGGACTTAATGACTTTAGACCCGTCGCCCTGACCTCTGTGGTCATGAAGTCCTTCAAGCGCCTTGTGCTGTCACACCTGAAAGAAATCACGGACCCCCTCCTGTTTGCCTACAGAGCCAACAGGTCTGTAGATGACGCTGTCAACCTGGCCCTTCACCACATTCTCCAGCACCTGGACTCCGCAGGAACCTACGCCAGGATCCTGTTTGTGGACTTTAGCTCGGCCTTTAACACAATTATCCCAGCTCTGCTCCAGGAGAAGCTCTCCCAGCTGAATGTGCCTGACTCCACCTGCAGGTGGATCACAGACTTCCTATCGGACAGGAAGCAGCACGTAAAGCTGGGAACACAGTTCTCTGACTCACAGCTCATCAGCACTGGTTCCCCCCAGGGCTGTGTTCTTTCTCCTCTGCTCTTCTCCCTGTACACCAACAGCTGCACCTCCAGTCATCAGTCTGTCAAGCTCCTGAAGTTCGCAGACGACACCACTCTCATCGGACTGATCTCCGATGGTGACGAGTCCGCCTACAGGTGGGAGGCTGACCATCTGGTGACCTGGTGCAGGGAGAACAACCTGGAGCTCAACGCTCTAAAAACAGTGGAGTTGGTTGTAGACTTTAGAAAGAGCGCAGCCCCAGCTACCCCCATCACCCTCTGTGACTCCACCATTGACACTGTGGAGTCTTTCCGCTTCCTGGGATCTATCATCTCTCAGGACCTAAAGTGGGAGCTGAACATCGACTCCCTCACCAAGAAAGCCCAGCAGAGGATGTACTTCCTGCGGCAGCTGAAGAAATTCAACCTGCCCAGGACAATGATGGTGCAGTTCTACTCCTCCATCATTGAGTCCATCCTCACTTCCTCCATCACCATCTGGTACGCTGGTGCCACCGCCAAGGACAAGAGCAGACTGCAGCGTGTCATCCGGTCTGCAGAGAAGGTGATTGGCTGTTATCTCCCATCTCTCCAGGAGCTGCACGCCTCCAGGACTCTGAGGCGTGCAGGGAAGATTGTGGCTGATCCCTCGCACCCCAGTCACAGACTATTTCAGTCACTACCCTCTGGCAGGAGGCTGCGGTCCATCAGGACCAGAACCTCCCGTCACAAAAACAGTTTTTTCCCATCTGCTATCGGCCTTAACAACAAGGCCAAGACCCGCCCGTGACACTGAACAATGTTTCTCTCCCCCATTCAGGATTTCTGCGTTACATTAATGTGGCATAAGGTGTTTACAGAGACAATTTGGTGCTAATGGACAGTTTATTGAAAAGACAATTTACAGTGTACCCCCAATTATATTTTTTATTTTTTTTGACTCAATGTTATGTATGCATGTGACTGTGAAAACATCCGGTCAGCAGGGGGCGCTGCGTCTCCCAGGTATCCGCTGCTGGCGCGTGCAGTTGTGGAGCGAGTAAGACGTCAGACAGTGTGATCAGAGATGAGACATAGCAAAAGTGAACTGATGTTGTTGTTCATGTTTTCACAGGTAAGAGAAAATGTAAAATTCATAAGATACAGATGTGTAAAGATGACACATGATGTGGGCGAACACTGAAGAACGTATTGCCGTGCGACTTTAGGTTGGTCTCAACAGGTTGAGCGAGGTGCTAACATTAGCACGCGGCTAATAGCTTAGTGTATAACCGGAGCTAACCGACAGTTGCTCAGCTTGCGGTGGTGTGATGTTAGCGTTCGGTGAGTCAGTTCATGGGCTCAGTACTAGACTGTTACTATCTTTAGGTTGGTCTCAACAGGTTGAGCGAGTTGCTAACATTAGCACGCGGCTAATAGCTTAGTGTATAACCGGAGCTAACCGACAGTTGCTCAGCTTGCGGTGGTGTGATGTTAGCGTTCGGTGAGTCAGTTCATGGGCTCAGTACTAGACTGTTACTATCTTTAGGTTGGTCTCAACAGGTTGAGCGAGTTGCTAACATTAGCACGCGGCTAATAGCTTAGTGTATAACCGGAGCTAACCGACAGTTGCTCAGCTTGCGGTGGTGTGATGTTAGCGTTCGGTGAGTCAGTTCATGGGCTCAGTACTAGACTGTTACTATCTTTAGGTTGGTCTCAACAGGTTGAGCGAGTTGCTAACATTAGCACGCGGCTAATAGCTTAGTGTATAACCGGAGCTAACCGACAGTTGCTCAGCTCGCGGTGGCGTGATGTTAGCATACGGTGGGTCAGTTCATGGGCTAAATACTGGACTGTTACTAGTCTTATTGTTTGTTTATGATTGTTTATGGTTAGAAATAATATGCAAAAATAACAAGTTAACCCATTACAGCACTGAGATGTGTATATATGAAAATAAAGGGAATCAATATTGTGGTTAAAAATGATAAATATGGAGGTTAAAAAGAGTTAATTTACTGATGTACTAGACTGTTACTAGTCTTATCGTTTGTTTATAATTGTTTATGGTTAGAAATAATATGCAAAAATAACAAGTTAACCCATTACAGCACCGAGATGTGTATATATGAAAATAAAGGGAATATTGTGGTTAAAAATGATAAATATGGAGGTTAAAAAGTGTTCATTTACTGATGTTTGGTGAATACGACCACAGTTTAATGTGTCAGGACTGGTATGTTTTACATGATTTGCTTTAGTCAAAGTATCCGCTGCTGGCGCGTGCAGTTGTGGAGCAAGTAAGACGTCAGACAGTGTGATCAGAGATGAGACATAGCAAAAGTGAACTGATGTTGTTGTTCATGTTTTCACAGAAAAATCAATAAAAATTAAATATGCTGCACAGTGAAGACCCCTTCTTCTTCCACGTGTAACATATTTTTGGCGAGCCAGCCAGGAGGATAGGACGCCGGTGGATTTCAAGCCCATCAGCTCCCCTTCCTCTACCCAAGAGACGAGTCTTCTTCTTCATTTAGTGGAGAAATGGAGGAAGTCCAGCTTCTGCGAGACCGTGTAAGTGCAGCCTTATGGCAACTGAAAGAGGGACCTCTCATGCGTGTCTGCAGGTCGTTAGAGTGTGATGGCCTGGACAACAGAGAGCCTGGAAGTTTGCCCCGGAGGATGTTGATTAGGAAAGCAGAAGATGTGCTGGATGAGATAGAGATAAGTCGTAGTGATGATGACGTTAAAAAAGTCCTGAATGATATCTTGATAGAAATGGAAAAACAAGAAAAAAAACATG